AGCTGAGATTTGAGACACAACATCCCTAGATCTCATACCTTGTGGAGAAATATTGTAATAAATGCGTTATTCTAAGCTGCTGAATTTATGGAACATTAAAAAACATTTCTTTTAGTAAAAGTTAAGTACATGTCATAGATTGAAGCTATCTAGTCATACATGCAAAACCAAGGTAACAGAGACATGAGGCATGAATGAGATTCAGGCATTCTTGATTCCCATCAGGGGGTTGGTACAGAGAAGTTGTCTGTAAGGAAAAAGAGGCAGTATGAATGAGGAAGATCTCATCTTCCCATGGTTGTTGGACCCGCTGAAAGATTCTAAGTGAAGTTATGGATTCCAGAGGTCAGGTTGTTATGAGGCGCTGCATGCTACAGCACACTCCCATGAAGGAATTTTGAAGAGCATAAAAAGAATGACACATTAAACAGTTAGTGATTTTCCTTGTAATTATATGTAGCTTTTCTAGCTTTCAGACATTTTGTAATAAAACCTATATTGCTTAAAAGTGATGCCCCATCATGTGTGGGTGAAGAAGACAGAAATTGGCACCAGCTTTGGGATAAGGATGCAGCTGAGGAGCTAACTGCACTGGGATGAATGAGCATCCTTGATTTTTAAGTAGACATGTTTAGATTCAGCTAACTTGAATCACGACCTCAAATTGAGAGTGTAAAAGAGCTGAGTAAAATATTCATGACAAACACGTGTAGCTGTAGATGTGAGAAAAAAGAGGGCCATGCTGCGTGATCAAATCAGAGCTGTCATCAGGGAAACAAGGTGACATTTGCTTTGATGCATTCTCCAAGGCTCAGTCTTGGTTCTGCTTTCATCTCCATAGTCTGATTAATTCGGCAGATAAGAGGGCTCGGGTCTCTGAGGAGCAGCAGGGGAGAGACAGATACAGTAATAGCAATCCAGTGTCCATCCTGGAACTCTGAGCAAGCATGCAAATTTCCAGGGAGATACAGAATGCCAAGAGCATTAGGATATTTTGGTTGATATGGTCAGCATTGTTGCCCCAGACAGGTCACATAATGCCTGTGGCCAAAGGAAGATGCCTTTAATATCCCAAAATGAGAGAACCAGGTGGAATTGCTGAAGTATCTAGTGTTTGGTGGCAGCTAACACTAAGGTCTTCACAGCAGGCTTTACTAGCCTTCCACCTAGAGTTATACTATCTGCCACTTCACCTGGAGGGGTGTCCAATCTTTTGGTTTCCTAGAACAAATTAAAGAAGAAATTGTCTTGGGCCAAAGCTTAAAATACACCATCAGAAAGGACAACTGATGAGCTTCAACAACAAAAACACTCCGTATATAGTTTTTATGATATATACCACCATCGATAAGCAAAAATGTCCTTCTGTAACAGGGTTTGGATACCCTGGCTAGAGTTATGTATTTCTTTCAAGGTAAATTAATGGTACTGGTGTTTGGATAAACTCTTTAGTCTGACACCATTCCTCATTGTAATTCACCCAGTGAGGCATTGAGCACAATATTAAATGACAGGTTACATATGCACCATAAATTCATTTAGGCAGAGGCTCAACCTTACTTGTCTTTATAGTCCAAGCTACTAGAGGGGTCCATGACACATTTTCAGATACTCAATAAATACTTGGGGATGAATTAACTGATGATGAAGGATAATGAATAAATTAAATATATAGGAGATGTTTTGTGTATATAATAACTCTTTGTTCTACTTATGATCTCCTCACTCCTATCTGGCCTGGTATGCCTCATTTCCTTTCTAATAAAGCAGGGGGAAAGTTTGTATCCTCGGAGAATCTATCAGTGCCTTCAGCAGCTTCTCATTTCAAAGACAATTGAACAGCTTGGTTCTGAAAGAGATCAGTTTCCCTTTCAACCTATAAACGTCTTCTCTGACTTAGATTGTCCTGATGGTATGCAGTTCCATTCTTGAAGCATGTCTATGGGGATAAGAGTACAACTGGGACTCTATCAGCATATAAATAAAATATCAATACTAATAAAAATATTTTTTTATAAATCTTTTTTTTTTTTTTTTTTTTTTTTTTGGTTTTTCGAGACAGGGTTTCTCTGTGTAGCTTTGCGCCTTTCCTGGAACTCACTCGGTAGACCAGGCTGGCCTTGAACTCACAGAGATCCGCCTGGCTCTGCCTCCCGAGTGCTGGGATTAAAGGCGTGCGCCACCACCGCCCGGCTTTTTTTATAAATCTTAAAGTACTTCGTAATTTTCTTATTTTTATTTTTTGAGACAAGATTTCTCTGTGTAGTTTTGGTGGCTGTCCTGGAACTCACTCTGTAGTCCAGGCTGGCCTTGAACTCACAGAGATCCCCGTAGCTCTGCCTGCTGAGTGCTGAGATTAAAGGTGTGTGCCACCACCACCAGGCATAAATTTTTAAAATAGTAACTTGGTTACGGTTTTGGTCATCGCACCCTTTGAAAAAAATTATCTTAGGAAAAACAGTTCATTGTTCAGTTGCTCTTTACAAATATTTATATAAATAATTACAAAATTATCATTTTGATAATATTTTTTAATCAAACCAATTTGACAATATTCAGCCACTTATTACCACAAAGATACTGCTAACACTTCTGAAGGAACCTTAGGTGTTCCTTCAGTTACATAGGGCAAAAAAAAAAAAAAAAAAAGGGAAAAGAATGAGGCATATGTCATTATGAATAAGGGGAAATGCAAGTCCCCTCTTGGAGTTTCTAGTCTAGTTAATAAAAGAATTTTAAAATGGATTCAAATTGAAGCTCATTGACAATTTCCTTAGGGTAAAAAATAAAATAAAAAGAAACCCCCAAAACAGCCATGTTGTTGAGGCTGGCATGGAGGTAGAGATAGAGGAAGGACTTAGATTCTGGCCCACATGGCCCGCCCACCAAAGGACAGGAAAAAAGGGAAAAGGAGAAGTTCTGAGACTTATTTCTCAGAAACGCTGCCAATCTCAGCCAAAGCTCAGAGTGGCCCATGGGGACTATGCAGTGAGTTAGGAATTCTGAGGATTACAGTATCTCATTAAAGGAGAATTATTCTACCTGTGTCATTAGTGTGGCTGACAGTGAGCCTGCCTTCCTAGATCATCCCCTTAGGCAGATGATTGTCATTCCCAGCTGGAATGTTAAGTCTCCACCAAGGCCAGATGCCATCCTTCTGACTAGAAGGAGGTTTTCCTTGATGGGCTTTCATTGCTTACCCTAACTAGGTCTTCCTTTAAGATGATGTTTATGCATGAAACTACTATTCACAGTGGCTGTGGTGACTTGAACTTTTGACCCACAGATATTTGAAGAAGTAGAATACCTATAGTATTAGATCACTAGAAAACTATAAATAGGAACTAAATTTTAGAAAAAAAATACAGAATTGTATAAACACAGGAAGAGTATTTTGACCCAGTCAAAATGTATATCTATTTATCGATATCACTGAGGTTATTGGAAAATTTTCAGACTAAGCCAGTTTATGGCTATAGGTCCTCACTGAAAGAATATATTCTGTAGGAAACTGATTGGTGAGAAGCATGATACTAGAGAAAGAAATGATCTACAAACCTACTAAGTCAGAATGAGAATCTTTAGATTTGCAATAACGCCTAAAGAGGGAACTCAGAAATGGGTTCAATATGAATTATTGAACAGAAATAAAATTTGTCAATAGATAAAACATTGAAGAATAAATTATCTTTTACAAAATTATTTCTTAGTTTTAATTTTTAGATAATCTAATTGCAACAGTATATGAGACACATTAAAATAAGATGACTTATAGCAATTGAAATTATAAAGGGGAAAGTAAGATGAAAACCAAATATTATAAATTAAAGCTGTTAGATGAAATGAATGTTATCAATTAAAAACCCCTACTTGGTGATTGTAGCATGAACTGCTAAATGGTCTTTTTAATGAAAAACCTGGAACCGAATATTGGGATGACAGCTGAAAGATCAGAGAAGCAGAGTAAGCCACAGCCACCACCTCTTACATCACCAACTTCTCAGCCTGAAAGAGCCTCAGGTGATAGGCCTCTAGCCAAATGAGCTTCCTCATCTGGAAAGGCTTTAGTTCCTGTCTCCTCATGCCTTATCTACCTTTCTCTGCCCACCCATATCATTTCCTGTCTCAACTTCTCTAGTACTGGGATTAAAGATGTGTGACTCCCAAGTATTGGGATTAAAGGTGTGTGCCACCACTGCCTGGCTCTGTTTCTCTCTTAGACTGAGTCAATCTCATGTACTCCAGAGTGGCTTTGAACTCACAGAGATCCAGACAGATCTCTGCCTCCCGAGTGCTAAGATTGAAGGTGTGTGCCACCATTGCCTGGCCTCTATGTTTAATCTAATGGCTTGTTCTGTTCTCTGATCTTCAGGCAAAGTTTATTAGGGTACACAATATATCACCACAGGTGATAAAATGAATTATCAACCATGAAATTTTAATTTTTAACATGGATACAAGATAATAAAACTTACAAAGCAAATCTGTTGCAATTATAATGCAAATTTGAGGTATTTGAACTGAGTAGGTATAGTAACATGGCTATGAAACATTGCAACAGTTAAATAGCAATACAACCATAGCATTTTTTACATATACAAGTAAAATCCTCTGTGCCAGTGCTTCTCAACCTTCCTAATACTGCAGCTCTTTAACACAGTTCGTCATCTTGTAGTGACCCCTTATCATAAAATTATTTTCATTGCTACTTCATAACTGTAATTTTTCTACCATTATGAATCATGTAATAGTCATGTAATGTTATGAATAATGTAAATATCTGTGTTTTCTGCTAATCTTAAGCAACCCCTGCCTGTGAAAGGGGCGTTCAACCCTCAAAAGCATCATGACCCAGAGGTTGAGGACCACTGCTCTATGCAGAGGAAATATACAAAATTTATGTGCCAACTTTTTATTAGTTTGTACTTATTGTGCATATATAGTTTTGGGTTCCATAAAATAATTTCCTCCAAGTGTATCAAGCACACATATTTGGGAGGGGGTGCCAAAATTCTTTATTTGAAGAAATGGTACAAATTAAAGAACTTAAGTGGATGTTTTGGTGAAACGATAAAGGCAGCCAGACATGCATGCACAGCCTCAGTGACCAGTACAGTCACTTGTGGCTTTGGGGAAGTCAGCTTAGCCCTCATCACCGTGTCCCAGGGTGTGCTTGTCAAAGAGATCTTCTGCCAGGCCAGCTTCAGGGGCTCCCATCTTGCGGAGAGTGGTCACGTGGCCACCCAGTTCTTTGATGGATTTCAGCTGCTCGTTCAGGTAATGGGTCTCAATGAAGTCACACAAGTGGGGGTCATTTTTGTCAGTAGCCAGTTTGTGCAGTTCCAGTAGTGACTGGTTCACACTCTTCTCCAAGTGCAGTGCACACTCCATTGCATTCAGCCCGTTCTCCCAGTCATGCCGGTCTGATGTCTTGATATCCTGCAAGAATATTTGGTCACCTCGTTAGTTCTGCAGCTTCATCAGTGTCTCGGCATGTTCCCTCTCCTCAAAAGATTGGTGGAGAAAGTATTTGGCAAAGTTCCTCAGAGCTACATCATCCCGGTCTAAGTAGCAAGACATAGACAGATAGACATAGGAGGCATACAGTTCAAGGTTGATCTGGCGGTTGATGGCAGCCTCCGAGTCCTGGTGGTAGTTCTGGCACACTTGGCGAGGCAGACGGGTTGGTCGTGGCTGGAGCAGCTGAGCAACGAGGTTGCAAAGGGTTCTGGCTCAGAGCAGCCGGCTGGGGTTGGAGGGGTTGAGTCCTGGATTCTGTTCAAGCACTGTTGAAGCAGGAAACCTTGTGACTCGGGGCGAGAACATCTCTCAAGTACACATATTTTGACATATTACCCCATACATATTTTCCCTGACTTTTTTGTCTCTTTCCTCCCCCCAATCTCAATTCTGTTTTTATATCATAAACCAGAATTTATACATATATATGTATATATGAGATATATATGTATGTATGATAATATATACACATATATATATATATATGATTTTATGTACCAATAAAAAATATCCAGCAATAACTACAAATGAAAGAACTTGTATTATATTTCTCATTTTGAGTCTGGCTTATTTTACTTATAATGATTTTTAGTTGCATTAATTTTCTAACAAATTAATCTCTTTTTATGGGTGAATAAAATTCAAATGTATATACATATATTACATTGTTTTGTATACATTGATCTCTTGACACACATCTAGCCCGGTTCCCCAATTTGTTTAGAGAGCTTTGAGATAACAATGGTGTAAAAGTCTGTCTGTAATATGTTGACGAAAAACCTTTGGGTATTTTCTTAGAAATGGTATGACTAGGTCACATGGTAATTCTAGCTTTAAATTTCTTTCTAGGAAACATCATACTGATTTCCATTAATGACTTGACTAATTCTCATTCCTACCACCAGTTTATAAAGGGTTCCCTTCTCCTATATCCTCACCAGCATATTTTATTATTTATTTTCTTTATGGCGAACATTCTGAGGGAGGAGAGATGGAATATCAGTGTAGTTTCGATTTACATTTTCTTCACACCTAAGGATAGTGAATATTTTTCATGTTGATTGGATGCCTGGATTTTATCTTTCAAGAATTGTCCGATCAGCCGGGCGGTGGTGGCGCACGCCTTTATTCCCAGCACTTGGGAGGCAGAGGCAGGTGGATCTCTGTGAGTTCGAGGCCAGCCTGGGCTACCAAGTGAGTTCCAGGAAAGGCGCAAAGCTGCATAGAGAAACCCTGTCTCGAAAAACCAAAACCAAAAAAAAAAAAAAAAAAGAATTGTCTGATCATTTTTAGTGCATTTATTAATTGGGTTGTTTATAATTTTAATAGTTTTTAAATATTTTTGCATATTTGTCCTCTGTCAAATGTCCATTTAGCAAAGAACTTTCTCCCCATTCTTTAGACTATCTACTCACTCAATTTTTCATCTACTGTGCAGAGAAGCTTTTACGTTTGTCAATTTTTGGTATTATGTCTTTGTCTATTAGAGTTCTTTTCAGAAAATCCTTATTTATATCAATATGTTCAATTATTTCCTGATTTTTTTCTTCTGACAATTTCAGAGTTTCAAATTTTTTATTCAGGTCTTTGACCCATTTTGATTAGATTTTTTACATGTAGATAACATGCTATAAATATGGATTTAGTTTCATTCTTATAGACATGGATATTCAGTTTGTCCAGCACCATTTTCTAGAGACACTGTCTCTTCTCCAACGTATGTTTTGGGTATTTTTGATTAAAATTCAGGTGGCCATAACTTTATTAACTGAATTTTTTGTCTTCTATTCAATTTACATTGTCTTGGTAAGAGGTACCATTGCTATGAAGAGACACCATGGTCACACAGACTCTTATAAAGGAAAACATTTAATTGGTACTGGCTTACAGGTTCAAAGGCTTAGTCCATTACCATCATGGCAGGAAGCATGGTGGCATGCAGGCAGACATGATGCTGGAGAAGGAGCCATGAGCTCTACATCTGGATCAGCAGGCAGTAGGGAGAGAGAGAGAGACACTGGGCCTGGATTGAGCTTCTAAAACCTCAAAGCCCACACCCAGTGACACACTTCCTCCAACAAGCCCCCCCACGCCCCTCTAAAAAAGCCACATGTCCTAATCTTTCACATAGCTTCACTCCCTATGAGCCTTTGGGTAGCATTTTTATTCAAACCCTTTTATTCAGACATGCTTATTTTGTGCTAGTATTATGCTGGTTTTGTTACTAAGGCCTTGCAGTGTTTCTTGAAATCAGTTCCTATGATGCTCCTAGCATTCTTCTTTTGTCCAAGGTTGTTTTAGCTCTCTGGGGTCTTCTGTATATCCATATTGGTTAACAGAACTGTTTTCTTATTTCTGTGATGATGCCACTGAAGTTTTAGTAGGAATTTGACTGACTATGTAGATAGATTTTGGTAACCCAAGCATTCTTGCCGTATCAATTCTACTAGTGTGTGAGCATTGGAAATCATTTCATCTTCCATGGTGTCTTCTTTTAGTGTTTCTCTAGTGTCTTAAAATTTTTATTGTAGAGCTGTTTGATTATCTTGGCTCAGTTTATTCCTAACCAAGTGTTTTTCAACCTATTATAAATGGGATGGTTTCCCTGTTTTCCTTCTCAGCATGCTCATTGTTTCATAGAAAAGCTACTGACTTTTGTATGTTGATTTTGTGTCTTCCTACTGGGCTAAAAATGCATAGCACTTTTATGACAGTTTTTTTTTTTGACTCTAAGATTTTATGAGATCTTATTATCTACATTTTCTGGTTGTGTGTCCCTTACCTACCACCTTCTCTTGTCTTATTGCTCTAGATAAGACTCCATGGATCATACTGAATTATAGTGGAGAATGTAACCATCCTTGACCCATTCCTAATTTTCATGGAATGCTTTGAGTGTTTTATTAGTTAGCATAATATTGGCTAAAGATTTTTCATATAGCTTTTATTATGTTGGTGGATATTTTTTTCTATTCTGATGTTCCAGTCACTGTTCTATTGATGTAAATAGACACTAGGACCTAGGAGACTTTTATAAGAGAAGGCATTTAATTGAGGGCTTGCTTACAGGTTCAGAGGTCTAGTCCATTATCATCATGGCAAGAAGCAGGGCAGCATAAAGGCAGGTGCTGGAGCAATAGGAGAGAACTATATTCTGATCTATAGGGCAAAAGGCAGAGAGACACTGGGCCTTTCATGAGCTTTTGAAATCTCAATATCCACCTGCAGTGACACATTTCCTCCTACAAGGACACATCTCCTAATTCTTCTAATCTTAACAGAGTTTCACTCCCTAAGGGACTAAGCATTCAAATAGCTGAGCCTATGAGGGCCATTCTTACTCAATCCACTACATCTGAGTTTCTTCAAGTTTTTAATCATTCCTTTACACTGAACTTTGTCAAGAGCCTTTTTGGTATCTATTGAGATGATCACATGATCTCTGTTCCTGAGTTTATCTAGTAATGCAATATATTACATTCATTGATGTACTTATTTTGAACCACCCTTATATACCTAGAATTATCCCCATTTGGTCTTGGTGAGAGTTCTTTTTTATGTGTAGTTCAATTCTGCTTGCAAGTATTTTATTAATTATTAATTTAATTAATTAGCAATTTTAATTTTCATTCATGTCTGTTAGGATGATTAGCCTATAATTTTCTTTTTAGTTGTGTTCTTATCTGGTTTTGGTATCAGGGTAAACCTGGTTTTATAATAAGAGTTTGGTGTCATTCTTTCCATTTCTGGTTTTGTTGAATAGTTTAAAGAGCATTAATTTTATTTTACTTTTTAAAGCAGGTACAATTTGGCAGTGATTCCATTTAAGCCTATGCTTTAGTTATTTGAGAGACCTTATATTATTACTTTAATCTTAGTGCTTAGTGTAAATATATTTAGTGGTTTATATTGTTAATTTCTGTAGACCCTATATGTCTAGCAAAGTATGCAATTTCACTTAAATTTTCCTGTTTATTGAGACATAGGTTTTCAAAGTATGCCATGCTGATCTCCTGAGTTTCACTGGTATATGCTGTGATGTTTCCCTTCTTATTTCAAATTTTCTTACTTTGAAAAAACAGACAACTCAATCTTTTTGTAGGTTAGGTTTTCTTTTCTTTTAAGGTTTGTCAGTCTTCTTTAAAGAAACGAATCTTCCTTTTTCATTGGGTTGTTATTATTTTAAGTTTTTATTTCATTAATTTCTGATCTGATCTTCATTATTTCTGCCCACTCAACAGTTTTGCATTTAGTTTCTTCTTTCTCTAAGACATTGATATTCATAGTTACATTAATTACTGGGTAATTTTGGAATTTTAAAAATATGGGCATTTACAGCCATAAACTTCCTCTTGAAATCACTTTTATTAGTAGAACAGCAGGTTTTAGTATATTGTGTTTTCATTTTCATTTGATTATAGGATAATTTTCAGTTTCTCTTCTGAAATTTTTGAAAATCTATTTTATTTGTTTTAATTATGTATATACATTTGTATCTGTGTGATGGTATATGCACATGAGTACTACTACTGGGAGCCAGAGGCATTGATTTCTTTGGAGCTGAAGTTACAGATAATTGTAAACTACATGATGTAGGTACTGGGAACTGAACTCAGCTCAGTTTGCTTATTTGTATGTTTTTGAGTTAGTCTTTGTGTGTTCTAGGTTGGACTTGAACTTCCTTTGCAGTCACAGCTGGTCTTGAATGATCCCCCTACCCCCACTTGTAGAATGGTCGGATTATAAGTGTGAACTCCATGTTCAACTTAATTTTGGTGTTATTGTCTTTTCTTCTAAGGGGGATTTTCAGAAGAAGACCACTTATGCAAATGGGTGTCTCATTTCCTTTACTATAGTAGGTCTCCAGGATGATTAAAAATTGACTCTGTCATCCCAGATATTCCCTTACATTTTAACATGAGCATTAACAATTAATAGAGTTGTTTGTAGTTATTAATTTTAGGAATCTACATAATTTGCCCCCAATCTCAGTGAAAATAAATTAGCATCCTTTGCTGGGGATGCAATGAGAAGGTATGTGCGGCTCAGTCACCTACATGACTTTTTTTACTCCCATACTAGGATCCCATGGTGGGATGATTTGAACTCCAGAATAGAAGAGCTGGAGAGTTATTGGACAAACTCTATCTTTGCATAGTTTTTATATGTGGTTTCTCCAGCATGACAGCCTAAAGATGTTTTTAACTCATTTGTATTTGTTCATGACCCCAAATATGGAAGGAGGGGGATGGGGGGTAGTGGTGGTAGAGGAGAAGGAAGAAGGGAAGGAAAGGAAAGGAGAGGAGAGAGGAGGGGAGGGGAAGGAAGGTAAGGGAAAGAGAGGGAAGGGAAGGGAAGAGAGAGAGAAAGAGAGAGAGAGAGAGAGAGAGAGAGAGAGAGAGAGAAGAAATTAGCAGAAACACCCCCCAAAATTACATATCATCTCTTCTGTGAAGCCCACTCATGTCAATAGTTGAAAGTTAGCTCCTCCATCTTGCTTATTTTTTCACATTAATAATTTTTTTTAAAAATGCAATTATTGGATGCGTTTTTCTAATTATTCTTTATCATTAAAAGATCCAAAGTCAGATATTGGAGTAAAAACCTGAATGATCAAAGAAGCTGAGAAGCCACTGGTCACTTCCTCTCTCTTTGATTCCTCAATCCAAAAGGTCTGAGATCCTCTCTTAGCCCCACCTTACTACTTCCTCAGTCTTCCAATACTCCTATGGTCAGCAAGTGGCTAGCTCTGCCCTCTGATTCAAAACAAAGTTAACTGCCAGAATGCAATCAAAATATCACACAACTCTTAATTTTTATACTAGGCTAAATTTTTTTTTTTTACTGCGCTTTATTCATTGGAATCAAAGCCAATGTATGTAAGTAAATTTTAGGAAAATTCAGGGGCAGTTTGATCCTAGAAGAAAAGGCAGTTTCAAATCACAGTACTTCCTTGGCCTGCAATGAGATTCTCCCTACTATGAATGGAGCCTATGTGTAATGGTGGCACCACAATATAGTGCCACCTAGTGACAACATCACAGCTGCCCCAGTTTGTGAAATCTTAGCTATGAACTGTGACCAATAAGAAAATTGCCTAATGATGCCTTCCTTGGAATAAATCCAAAACATCATTAAGTTATGGAATGACAGTAATATATTTTTAATTAAAAATTTTAAATATGAAGTAATGAGTTTCAGTGTGACTTTTTCATACATACGTATCAGTATGTTTTTTTTTTTCCCCGCCCTGACATTCTGTCTTATCTCTTACTTTTAAAGTATGTATTTGTGTGTGGGTATGTGTATCTGAGAACAGGCACTTGTAGAATCCAGAGGAATCAGATCATCTGGAGCTAGAGTTACAGGTAGTTGTGGTGCTGGAGACTGAACTCAGATCCTCTACAGAAGTGATGTGTGCTCTGAACCGTGAACCATCTCTTCTGATTCCCCACTCTTACTGATGCCTTTTCTCCAAATTGTCCATATTTCTGTTTTCATGGTTCTGGTAGGATGAAAGTTGGCTGACCACTGTGGAAACATCTCAGGATCTGCCATACCCACTCTCGAACCCAGTAGTTTCACTCCTAGAAATATGTGCAACAGAAACAGATATATATGATGGTAGATTCAGCATCCTGTTGGAAAATGCAAGCTTCTCTATGCTTAACTCATGCTCTCTATCTAATCTCATGGCCTCAGTTACCTACCAAGAGGATAGAAAGGAGAAGCAAGGGGATCTGTGCTGCATCTCACATTAGTGCCCTTAGAGGCCCCTGATAAGACTCCTTCACACAGCACTTAGGTGCTGGGCTCACAATGTGTCATTTGGGAGGCTTCACAAATTCACTCTTTATTAGTAGTTCGCTTTCTGCCTTTGCGTGATGATACTCATAAGTATCCTTTGCAGGAGAAGTAGCATCCCTGTTTGCACTCACTGTAGAAACACAGTAGAGAATGTTATCCATCACATCAATATGCTCTGTGGAAAACTTCTCATGAGTTATCTTTTCTACATTTAACACCGGCAAGAGAGTTCTCCCCATTTAGGCACTGGCAGGCTTCCTTCTCTCTAATGAGAACTGTGCCATTTATCATGTTGTCTCTTCTTTCTGCATGCCAGGGGTTTCAGAGCCAACTGTGAAACGTAACCATAGTGATGCAGCTAACCAGTCACTAAAGTCAGCACGCTATGCCTTTCTGTTTTTAATATTCCTAATTCATCATTCATGTTTATTAGCCCCCTGGTTCATAATTTGATAGAAGGAATCACTTACAGATAAATTCAATACAAGATAAATGCAAATTGAAATTCTATTTTGCAATAAAGAACAAAGCCAAATTTTATTTTCCATTATGTTGAGTGATGAAACCACTTGTTTGATAAAATGCACGATTCCATTTCTAAAACCTCCTTGCAGTGCCTTGGTGCAGTGGGAAGGGGCTTGGACCTGCCTAGGATCAGTGTGCTGGGCTCTGCTGACTCCCCATGGGAGACCTCGAGTTGGGGGATGTGGGGATGCGGGGTGGCTTGGGAAAGAGGGCTGCGGGGTGGGAGGAAGGAGAAGGGGAGAATCTGTGGATAGGATGTGGAGTGAGGAGAAAATTTCTTAATAAAAATGGAAAAGAAAAAAATCCTCCTTGCAGTGAAAAGCCATATACATTCAAGTAACAGATTAGTAGGTATCAGGGACTATGACCATGGAGGGAAGATCTAGTATGAGTGAGATTATCAGAAGCTATCTTAGGGGATATAATCTTGATTTTAGGAGAGTTTTGAATGAAGTCTACACCTGATAAAATGACAATGGCACTCACATTAATATCCACTTTTGATTTCTATGCTGTATCATAATTGCATAAGATTTAACTACTCAGTAAATTTGGTAAAGGGACATGGTATATTCTAGATTTGTAAGTTCCAATAAGTCTTTAATTTTTTTAGAAAATTAAGAAATATTTAGAAAGCTATCACTGCACTTCCTGTGTCTACAGATGCATATCTTCCCTCTGGATTAATGTCTCCACCAGAAGGTTACCTTGGTTACAGTTGAGTAGTCATGAGGGAAACCATGGTGAAATATGCTCAGTTTCACTATAACACAAAACAGCTCTGACATGTCATTGACCAATGCCTTTGATATGGGAATTTCATTGTGTGGATATTACACCAGAAATAAAATTGACTTCACAATATTAGCTATTAGATACTAAATATGGAATCAATTATTTATACTTATCTGCTTTAGAGAGGACTCTGAGTGTGATTTACTTCAAAAAAATATTAGTAAGTAGTGTGCAGTTTGGTTGGTCAAATCATTTTAGAAAAAGGTCTATAGGTATTCATACTTGGGGGATGGAAAGACAATTTAGGGGGTCAGATGACTTGCTGCACAAGTATGAGAATTTGAGTTTGAACACCCAAACTTGACTTAAAATGTAAGTCATGACCCAAGCACACTTGTAGGCAGAAAGAGGAGGGTTGCTGGCGCTTTCTGTCTGACAGTTTAGCTACAAGTTCACTGAAAGATCTGTCTTGAAAGACAAAGGCAGAAAGTGACAGAGTAGGATACCTAATGTCCTCTTCTGACCTCCACAAGAGTGTGCACAGGCACAAGCATCTGCACACACAGGTGCACATATGCCTCACTCACACCACACACTCTCTCACACACACACACCCCTCAAAAAAGAGAGACATTTATTCAGTCTTGTATAAATGACTGTAGTATGAATAGCATAAAGGTCATGCTATGTGAATCCAGTGGGGTTTGCCATTGGAGTAGAGAATGATGGAATGGCCTATGATAAGCAGAAGGGGAATTCTCTCAGAGTGAATTCAGAATGTTCATCTGTCCAGCCAACAGGACCAATGCCAAGAGTGAGGCAGAGAAATATAGATGGACACATTTCTTCTGGCCCTTCAGCCCATGCAGGCATGCACAGATAGCCTGGTAATGATGCAGTGGCATGTGCAAAGTTCTGCCTATCTCACCTGTGGTAGCTCAGACTTTGTGTGGGTGGAGCACAACAGATCTGTCCTTTGCCTGGGCCCAGTGTTTGGTATCTGAGATGCTTGTGAACAGAATTCTTTCTCTACTGGAGCGATCAGAAAAAGCCAATGATGAGATATTGAAAAGTATGCATGAAGCCATCGAGAGGCACCTTCCCCAGACACGTCTTGCTAGCAGGCTGTTAAGAGACATTCCTGAAGCTCTGGAGAGCTAGCCTTGCAGCTCCTGAGGGACAGGACTGATGTACCAGATCCTGAGCTACTATGTCATGCGTGATTCTTCTAGAAACTGTTCAATAGCTTCAATAAAACCACGGTGGCCTGGTTTGGTTTATACTGACCAGACTTTGGTGACACAGAGACGTGAACTAGCTTTCTCAAAGAGCTGTCTCAGGGCCTTGGGATATTCAATACCAGAAAGAGATGTGTGAACTAGCCCTGTTGATTCTCAAGAGAGGGGCCCTGGGCACTACCCTTCATTAGGCACCAAGACACTATTTACACTAGCAATGATGGATGTGACATAATAAAATGCATCAGATTGGTCAAAATCATCGTCTTCTCTCTGGAGTTTTATTGGCTATATTAAGTTGTGAATGTCTAGTGGAACAAATGCAGTGGATATTTGCCCCCCTCCCCCTGCACTGCAGAAACCAAATATCTGGAAATAACTAGAACACAGGGGCTGAGAGCAAGAGCAGCAGCCAGGGGCCTGAAAGTTTCACAGCGGGAGGAGTTGGCTCCTGCATGACATAGCGTTGCTAGATTCTGAAAAATCTTTGAAGTGCACATGGCCCCGGAGAAACTAATAATGTAATTCTAGATGTCTACATTTGTTTCCTTAGATACATAACACAGCACAAACAGTTTGGTTCCAGTTTTAGGGCGGTTGTTTGTAGTGACTTGGTTAAATTAAGGGGCTTTTTGAGAATCAGGAGATGGGCTAATAGCCCTTGAAGATTTGAGCAAGAACCACAATTGAAAATTATAACCTAGCCTGCTTACAAGGATATTTTTAGCTCATTTCTCCCCTTATAAACACATTTCCCTATATTATTACTATAATATGTTTCTCCTGATCACAGAGACTTCTCTTCCAGTTATGCTAACATGAAGCTTTCCAGGGACCGAAGGCAATAATAATAAATCAAAAAGGTGAAAATGCAACAAGGAATTGAATAGTGTATCACTCGGGAAGAGGGCCTTTAAAGTGTCTATAAAGAAACCTTCCTACACACTTAGAATTTTCTTCAAATTTGTTCATTCTCGAGAAACCCTTAATGTCTACAATCAAATGAGCTAACCCTGAGTGGACAGGGAAAGGGCCCGAGCCACAAAATTCAAAGCAAGTAAGCAAGAAAAGCTGGAACACGCTGATGAATGGCTGTGTATTCTCACAGGGTGAGGTCATGCATTTTCCCCATGAATAGTTATCTCCCTTTTTACTATTGACTACATCACCCATTTTATTTGGGATTATTTTGTTTGGGTGTCAGGGATATTTTTTTCTCCATGACCACCCTTCCCCCATAGAGACAAACATTTTATCTATAAACACAAGACACTGTATCCTTTGAAACAGGTAGCCCCTGAGCTGTTCAGCTGTTGCCCTTGACCTTAAGAGAACTTTTATTTTTTTTTCTCTTCCTGTGTCTCAGCGCAGATTCTAATTTTCTGCCAACACAACACTGTGGCCGTTTTCAAGAAGGGTTTGCCACTTGTGCTGAATTGGCTAAATCGCACCAAATATTGGACATATATTTAATAAATGTCATGTTGAACTGTAAGGAATTACTTCTGCTGCATGCATTATCCTTGGTTGAGCAGGCAACTTCATCTAAGTCAGAGGAGAGGTGTGTAACAGTGTCTCTGTGTGTATGAACGTGATATTAAAAAGTTAATAAACTGGAAAGCGTTATCTTAGTCTCATTGTTAGCTTTAGCTCTAAAATAGACACAAAGCAAAACAAGACAGTTTCTGATTGGTTTTTTATTTAGCTATGTGCCCCAATCATGTTCTTCAACTGCTTTAGGTATTTTAAATTTCAATAATAAAGTTTATAAAAATAAAGTTTCCCAGCACTTGGAATTTTGCTCCTTTTTAATCTGGGTATAAGAAAGGTACAAAGAGAAGAAAGAGGAAATGAACTTGATCATGATCATATGTGGCCATGAAGCAATGCTGACCATGGATTTTTCTAATATTAACTGCCTGCTAGTTTTAAGGCAATCACTTTGGTGGTTTTAGGGCTGTGTGTACGAACCTCCAGTGTTATGAAAATCAAAGGATCTGCTTGTTCTATGACCTAAAATAAACTAGAGAAAAATGTTTGGCGATGCAGATGGCACATGAATAAACTTCTTTTTTACCTCCTTGCATTTTTTCTCATTGTATTTGACATGCTTCCTAAACCTTACATTCAGCAATGTAAAACCTGAAAAACTAGCACTATAATCAGAAGGCAAACTATGTAATTTTTGAGAAACATTGTCTTCCCTGTGGTGTATAAACAATGTTTGGTGAGATGAACTCCAGATTTTCCTTAGTTTCAGAAACCTGAATATCTAAACTTATAATCTTAATTTTGGAAATTAATTTAAAAATAAAATGGAAACCAATGAAGATTCTATATAAAAAGTCAAGTAAATAAATGACTTGAAATAATATAATATCTCTTTTAAACATTAGCTGTTTTGTAATATAAATCTATCTATAATAATTACTACATTAGTAATAAACAAAAATTGAGTGTAGCCATTATGACTAGATGATTCAATTTAATTTATTCATATTGGTTTCCAAAGTTGGTTATTAAAATATCACACTTTAAAGAGTGAAGCTAGAACTCCAGCATAAAACCTCAAAATTGATAGAGACCAAGAGTATGTAGGTCAACCATCCAAACCACACCTGTTCAAAATTGATATATTTTCCAGTCTCACAAGTAAATACAGCACCTTGATTTTTAAGTATGGTGTCTTGGGTAATTCCAGCTTCTCTAGTAACCAGGCTCTCAGGGCACACTCTACAACC